TTGTTTGAGAACGTGATGGTTGAGTAGTTAGTTTGAGGTGGGATAGGCTTCCCTGAAGAGATGAGTCTTAAGGGATCGCCTAAAGGCAGTCAGAGTGGGAGATAGTCGGACAGGTTGGGGAAAAGAGTTCCATAGTATGGGAGAGAAGTCCTGGAGGCAAGCATGGGAGGAGTTGACGAGGGAGCTGGAAAGCAGGAGGTCTTTGGAAGAGTGGAGGGGACGGTTAGGATGATACTTTGAGACAAGGTTTGAGCTATAGTCGGGGGCAGAGCTGTGGATGGCTTTGTAAGTCGTTGTTAATATTTGGAATTTTATCCATTTGGCTATTGGAAGCAAGTGCAGGGATCGGCAGAGAGGGGGTTGCAGACACTGAGCGGTCGGTTAGGTGAATGAATCTAGCAGCAGCATTCATGGTAGATTGAAGGGGGGATAACCTGTATGGAAGTAGGCCAATGAGGAGGGAGTTGCAATAGTCAAGATGAGAGATAACAAGGGAGTGAATGAGTAATTTTGTGGTTTCATTGGTGAGGACGGGGCGTATTTTGGAGATGTTTAGAAGGTGAAGGCGGCAGGATTTGGATAGTGATTGGATGTGAGGAAGAAAGGTGAGGTCTGAATCAAGGATGACACCTAGGACCTTGGCATGGGGGGAGGGTTGGATAGTTGTGTTATCAATATCAAGGGAAAAGTTGGGGGAAGGTGCACGGTGGGGGGACGAGCAAATATCATGAGCTCAGTTTTTTAAAGGTTGAGTTTTAAGAAGTGTTGTGACATCCAGACTGACATGTCAGTTAGTAGATTAGTGACACGCAAGGACACTGAGAGGGTGAGTTGTGGAGTAGAAAGATATATTTGAGTGTCATCGGCATAGAGATGGTATTGGAAGCCATGTAAGGTTATTAACTGACCAAGGGAGGAGGTGTAGATAGAGAAGAGAAGGGGTCCAAGGACAGAGCCTTGGGGGACCCCTACAGGAAGAGGAGGGGAGGAGTTGGATTTGTAGGTGACACTAAAGGAGCGCTTATATAGGTAGCAGGAGAACCATGAGAGAGCAGAGTCTTGTAGGCCAAGCAAGTGGAGTTTTTTGAGGAGAAGCAGGTCTGCGTGTAGTGAGGGGAGCCAAAGTGTCTAGAGAGGGTGAGAGCGAGCTGTTGTAGACAGAAGTAGCCAGGTCAGGGCAGGACAGGGTTGAGATCTTGTCATAGAGGTAGTCAGTAGCAGAGTAGAAAAGAGCAGGGTCGAGGTGGCGAAGGTTTCTCCAGGTGACAGTGTGCCGTGTAGGGGGAATCAGGGTTGGGGACAGGGTGAGTGTGAAACTGACAAGGTTGTGGTCTTAGAGGGGAAAAGGGGGTGTTGGAGAGGTTGCAAGGAGTGCATAGTTGAGAGAAAACAAGATCTAGTATGTTACCATCAGAGTGAGTAGGAGTGTGTCCCCATTGTGTTAGATCAGCCAGACAGAGAAGTCATCCAGAAAGTGAGAAACCAGTACAGGCGGCCGTTATATCACAGCAATCCACAAAGAAATTGGAGAGAATAGGCGAATACAGTGAGATTCAAAAGAGGAGAGGGATAGAGAGGGAGGTGAAGGCAGAACTTGAAAAGTGCATTGCGGGGATAGTAGGATTCCCACTCCACCTCCTTTCAGTCCATTGGGTCTGGGTGAGTGCGTCCAAAGAAGGCCACCATGGGAAAGGGCAGCAGGGGAGGGTGAGTCGGATTCCTGAAGACAGGTTTCAGTAACAGCTAGCATGTTAACCTCCTTGTTTCAAACTTTATCATACCTGGGATGTCTACTGGACTCTTGTTTGGACAGATTTGGTGAGTTATTCCTAAGATTTACTAAGAATTGCAGGCCTACAATACATAACACCAAATTTCCATGCAAAAAATTGTACTGCTTTTGGTACAAAATTCCTGACATAATCATACCGCCAGGTTAAAGGAGATGGAGATAAGAAGATCATGGACAGCGGTGAGTTTGTTACAGACAGAGCGGGCATTCCAGAGGGCCAATGAGAAGGAAGGACTGGTTCTAGGAAGCAGGGGGATAGAAATCAGAGTGCGCGGATTGCAGCTGCTGCCAGAGGAAAGGCAGCGCTGGTTTGGAGGGTGAGTATTAGAAAAGAGAGGTCCAGGATTGGGAGAGATATCCCCTGAAGTCAGGAGAAGCAGAAGAGTGAGAGAAGTGATATGAGAGGTATTTTTATATGGGCGAACATGCCTCCTGCTCAAAATGAGCAGGAGGTGATTAGTGCAGTAATAGGGAGAGGGTAGGAGAGAGGGAGAACTATAAAAACTGTGAGGTGGAAAGGCGGATGGTGAAGGATATAGAGTTTAAGAAGAGAAGCGAGAAGCAATGGTAGGGAACGCTTGCTGTGCAGAGGAAGTATGAACTATTTATTACTATTATTATGAACATTAAAGGAGAACTGTGGGGCAATGTTTTTTCCCATAGTTCTCCTCAGGGTCACAGGAAGACATATACTGTGTCCTCCCGTGACCCATAACTCAGCATATAGCGGGCTATTGCCCGCTATACTGTATGCTGAAAGCACCGCAGTCGGTACAAATCCAGACAATACTGTCAAGATCCACCCCACTGGCTGATTGACAGCTGGCTCTGCCTCTCTAGAGCCAGCTATGCCCGCCCCTCCCCGGTTTGCCCCTTCAGTCAGCGCTGCAGGATTGGAGAGGGGAGGGGGATCTCTGCGGGGAGCGGTGACTAACAGTCACCACTCTCTGCAGGGAGATGATCGGGAAGTGAGCAGATCAGCAATATGTTTTTGCTCACTTCCCGATCTATAGAGTTGACATGTGACAGTTTCAATGTCACACATCGGCCCTAGCTATGAGAATGAGTGTAATTCCCTCACCCCATAGTTCTCCTGTAGGAGACACAGAGGGGAATTCACTAAGGATGGAGCAGACACAATCTAAAGCAGTTGCCTATGGCAACTACTCAGCTTTTCATTTTCAAAGCTTAACTTATCAAATTAAAGAGAGAAGCTGGTTGCTATTTGCACCTGCTCCAGATTAGTGGTGACTCGAAAAATGCTAGTCACCGATGTACTGTATGTGTGAATGGACTCCAAGATAACTCCAAGATGATTTTTTTATAAAGAAAAATTAGGAGATAAGTTTATAATCTCTTCCATATTTTACTGCAAAATGGTGCCTGAAAAAATGTTTAGACAAAGAAAAAACATTTAACACCATCGTTCTGTCCCAGCTCAACATTGAACTGTAGCCTGTGTATAGCTCGACATGCAGCTAAACCCTCCTATTCTGCAATAAGCTTAGACTGAGTGAAATCTTGATTCTTTATTAACAAAACAGGGCGGGGTGAAACTGGTGATAAAGAACACAGAAACAAACCAATTAGTATATAAAACATGTAACAATAGTGTCAGCTTACAAATACAGAGAAGCCAGTTCCATTCCTACCAGCGATGCTGCCTAAAAATGGAACCTAAACTCCCAAGATGCACTTGTTTCCTTTTCTTTGGGCAGAGGGATGTTGGGAGTTTTTTTTTTTTTAATTAAAGGAAGACAGTCTAAGCTGCTGTAAATAGAGATTACTTCTCTTCAGCTCTATCTTGTGGCTGATTTAGATATTGCAGGCAGGTAAGACTTTTATTTCCTGTGCCAGAGGCAGAACAACCATACTGGGAAAGCCAAAAGTTTAAATGCTAAGACCATAAAGTTAGATCCCTACATGCAAGGTAAATCCTTGTATGTTATTGTCAGGTTCGCCGAGTCTGTGTAGTCTCACTGGATCGCAGCTGCGGAACTGATAGTAGAAGTATCTATGAAAAGGTGGTTCAGTGAGCGGTTCCCTATTACACTTGGGTGAACTATAGGAGCTTATTAGTGATAAAATGATTAGTGATTAGTGATAAAATTGTAGAGGAGAGTTCCCCTTAACTAAATGGTAGGTTGGACTAATGGGTATGCAGCTAAATGCCTTTACTATAGCAGGATGACAAGTTGTAGACTATAGCAGTAAGTAGTAGCCATTAGACAGGTTGTAATCAATCAGGTTAAGTAGAATAAAGCATTTATAGCAGCTGTGTGCCTGCAAGATATGACAAGCTCGGACCGATGTACAGCACTCCACTCATGCAATGCAAAACAGTTTAAAGCAACAATTACCACAGAAATTCCTCCTTATGCACAGTTATGTCAGCAGCAAGCAGTATAGCAGTTCACTCATGCATTTAAAGTAGGTTGCAGGTTAATTGACAGGGTTCAGTCTGCTGACTAAATGACAGGAGCGCTGGTATTGACAATACTGGTGTTGTAAACTACAGTGGCAGTGGCCCACATAACAAGTGACCCAGGGTACTTGCGCTTAGTTGTTTCAGCTCTATACACCGGTATTAGGGAGGAAGGACTGCTGGCGGCATGCCCTGCTGCTGACTTCCGAGTTAAGTGGGAGGTCTAGCTCCGTTATGTTTGTCTCCAAGCACTGGCTGGGCAATTTTTTTTTTAAAAAGTAAGCCAATTCTCAAAAATGAAAAATGCATAAAATTAAAATAAACTCTCAGCTATCAATCTTGTCTTATTTAAAGGGCAATACATTCATGTAATTATTTTGTTGATAAACATACTTTCAGTGCTAAAGGATTTATTATCTACATAGGTGAAGTTGGGACAACGCTATAATATATTCAGTTTATTAATTCAGTATGTTGATTGGAAGACATTTCATAAGAAGAAATCTGTCCTCCAGCAGTTCAACACATCCAAAAGTAGCATTTGTTTACTTTTTTCTACTTGACTTTTTATTTTACTTTAAAAAAAATTAAGGCATCAATTTTATTATTTCTTTATTTTTAAAGCATACAATGATGACACAGAATATTCATTTGAAGGAAATTTTATTGAAAACTAAGAATATTCTCATCCATCACCTTAATCAGAAATTAGAAAACATACCCAATTATTCATACCAGAAAAAGTGTATTTAGAACATTTAAATAGAACAAGAACTTCTGGCTTTATAAACTTTCTGTGCCACCTCTAAGACGGAGTACAAGGTGAAGGGTGGATTCTTTCTGGATGTTGTAGTCAGAAAGTGTGCGGCCATCTTCCAGCTGCTTGCCAGCAAAAATCAATCTCTGCTGGTCTGGTGGGATACCCTCTTTGTCCTGGATCTTACATTTCACATTGTCAATAGTGTCACTGCACTCAACCTCAAGGGTGATGGTCTTGCCTGTGAGGGTTTTCACGAAGATCTGCATACCACCTCTCAGACGGAGCACAAGGTGAAGGGTAGATTCTTTCTGGATGTTGTAGTCAGAAAGTGTGCGGCCATCTTCCAGCTGTTTGCCAGCAAAGATCAATCGCTGCTGGTCTGGTGGGATACCCTCTTTGTCTTGGATCTTTGCTTTGACATTCTCAATAGTGTCACTGGGCTCAACCTCAAGGGTGATGGTCTTGCCTGTGAGGGTCTTCACAAAGATCTGCATACCACCTCTCAGACGGAGTACAAGATGAAGGGTGGATTCTTTCTGGATGTTGTAGTCAGAAAGGGTGCGGCCATCTTCCAGCTGCTTGCCGGCAAAGATCAATCGCTGCTGGTCTGGTGGGATACCCTCTTTGTCCTGGATCTTACATTTCACATTGTCAATAGTGTCACTGGGCTCAACCTCAAGGGTGATGGTCTTGCCTGTGAGGGTCTTCACAAAGATCTGCATACCACCTCTCAGACGGAGTACAAGATGAAGGGTGGATTCTTTCTGGATGTTGTAGTCAGAAAGGGTGCGGCCATCTTCCAGCTGCTTGCCGGCAAAGATCAATCTCTGCTGGTCTGGTGGGATGCCCTCTTTATCTTGTATCTTACATTTCACATTGTCAATAGTGTCACTGGGCTCAACCTCAAGGGTGATGGTCTTGCCTGTGAGGGTCTTCACAAAGATCTGCATACCACCTCTCAGACGGAGTACAAGATGAAGGGTGGATTCTTTCTGGATGTTGTAGTCAGAAAGGGTGCGGCCATCTTCCAGCTGCTTGCCGGCAAAGATCAATCTCTGCTGGTCTGGTGGGATGCCCTCTTTATCTTGTATCTTACATTTCACATTGTCAATAGTGTCAGATGCTTCCACCTCCAGGGTAATGGTCTTTCCAGTTAGAGTTTTCACAAAGATCTGCATGGCTGCCTGGAAGGGGGAAAAATGCATATAAGATTATTTTTAAGGATATTATTTTTCACATTTTATTTCCATGCAGCCCTAATTTAGCAACAAAAAACCCACACAAAACTAACACCTATATTGCACCAGTTAATAAAAATGCACGACCATAATGTCTGTTTGATTTTCTGTAGCAATGAGAGAGTTCATAGTAATACTTTCAACTTTCTATTATGAACTGATTTACTCTGACAAATGTATAATTTCTTTAGTATTAAAGGAGAACTATCTAGAGGCAGAGCCAGCTGTACCCGCCCCCTCCCCCGTCCGTTCCGCCAGTCAGCGCTGGCAGATCGGAGCGGGGAGAGGGGAATCCAGCCCCTCCCCCTGTCACGGCAGAGAGCCTTGACAGGATCGAGAGGTGAGGGAACCCGGTATGTGTTCGCTCACCTCCCGATCTACTGAGCC